CCTAACATTCTAAGAAGTAGTTTTATTGCCATCAGGAGAAATCTGATACTTGCCTTCATCTTACACGCCTCTTCCAATAAGAAAAACATTTCCTTGGAGGCCCTCCACTTATCCTTCCTTGGAAACTTAATGTTTACATAATTGACTTTACCTTCAATTACTGAAGACTGTTCATCAACAAAGCAAAGATATTTCACTTTACATATTTGAAAGATTCTAACCCATATAGAGTCAGGAAGTAGTATGAGAGGTACTTGCTTGCTGAGAAGAGATATGATGAGAATATTGGAGAGGAAGGAGCCGAGGGCATGGGGTAACCAGCTACTCATTATTGTAGTGGAGATTGGTCCTTCTCCCTCCTGTTCCCCTGAGGTGCCCCTGGAGTCTGACTCAAATAAGAACCTAACATGCCTCAACTGTAAGTTCACTGTATAATGGCTGGGAGAGGGATTACGGTGGCGTGCACCCCAATCTATGGTAGGAGAGACAGGAACATGAAGTTTTACCTATTCCTTTTGTAGTCAGACACGTATATCATTGAGCCTCTGGTCCTTTTACATTGTAGTCATGCTCTCAAAGATGAGAGTGATGTTTGTTTTATTTATTGTTGCATCCTAAGACTAGCCCGGTGCCTAGGGCATAGTCAGTGCTCGATAAATATGTGTTAAATTAATGAACGCGGGGCACCTGGGTGGCTCAGTCCATTAAGCGTCTGCCTTCGGCTCAGGTCATGATCCCAGGGTCCTGGGATCGAACCCCGCATCAGGCTCCCTGCTCCGTGGGGAACCTGCTTCTCCCTCCCCCACTCCCCTTGCTTCTGTTCCCTCTCTTGCTGTGTCTCTCTCAGTCAAATAAATAAATAAAAATCTTTAAATAAATAAATAAATAAATAAACGGGACAAGGCAGGCCAATATGGAAGATAATTAGGGGAACCCAGGCCATCACTGGATTAAATGTTAGTTAGCAAAGCCACCCAAATCATGTGACATCAGCTCCTTGAGAGCAGTAACTGTGTTTTACTCATCTTTGTGTTCCCTAGGATTTAGGCTTATGGAGAAGGGGCTCAAACATTTCTCTGGAATCGAATCAGCTTTAGGGACCTTTATGATCATGTAGTAAAAACATCCTAGAGAACGATATTGTGGAGGGATGAAAAAGAGGCTGATTTGAAGTTGCGAGTGATAAGAACAATAACAGGGATCACATAATCAAACTTGGTAGTGATGGGAGGCAAGGAGACTCATGGGAAGGAATGACACTAGAGCTGGTGACAAAGTTGTCCAGGGAGGGGCCGTGGTGGCTGGGTCCTCTCTCTGCTGCTCCATGCGGGCCAAAGTAGAGTCCATTCGCTTTGGCACTTTAGCAAAAGTGACTCCCCCACACAACACTCGGCTCGGCAGTGCCCCATCAGCTTCCAATGGCCCAAAATATCAGAACCCTCGCTAGTCAGGTTATGTGTTCTTTTTCCCATATGCAGCCACTTCCCGACTACATGAGCACTAGGAGGAATTCCAGTGTCTGCCTCTTGGACCCAGTACCATGTCCCTCCTCCTCTCCAGGGACAACTTCTCACCAAAGGGACGGGGCGGGGGGGGGGCGGGGGGTTTCACTATGCCCATGACTCCTGAAGACGGCCATGCTCAGTGATTCCAAGGTGATTCCCTGTTCTACACTATGACTGCCATGGCTGACAACTTCATCTGCTTTTTAATCCAGCATGCTTTTTAATCTTTAGTGGGGCCCCTCCCCTGTTAAGAGAGCATCTGGTTATGTAAGAAGCCCAAGAGGAGGAGAACAGAGGACTTAGTGATGCTTCATAGGTTTCTGGCTGGGGGGTCAATTTAGAGATTGACTCAAAGTTGGCAGGAATAGGAATAAATTAACGGCGTTTGTGGGGGGTGAGTAAGGCTGGTTTAAAGCCCAGTGGGAGCAGTAAACTACGTAGATGAACAAGAGAGACAGGAAAAATTCTTGAATGGAGCAACAACGTGGGAAACATTTGGATGAGAAAACTGAGACAAAATGAAGGAATGCAGAGAGCTTTTAGGTCCATACTGAAGGTTTGGGGCCATAATAAGAGCAAACATGAACCACCAGACCTAAAGAGCTATGGGTGAGGGAAAAAATGTATATCCTGTCACACCCCCTCCAATTATTTAGTCTGTGAATTGATGTGACACAATCTTTAATCCCGTGTTGTTGTTTTTTTTACACGTATCCTTCCCACAAAATATTTGTATCTACACACTCTAAGTGTGTGTATATGGTGTGGTATTTATGTACTCCTATGTAATTTACCATCAGTCTTCAAGATCATGCCTCATTCTTACCTCTAGTTTTTAGCATGGTTTCCATTAGCTATTCCTGAGAGGAAATGAGCCATTCCTTCCAGTTTACAGACGGTGAAAGTGGTTTGGAGGAAGTCATTGGCTTGAGCAAGGTCACAGGTCAAGTTAGCAGCATTTGCCTTAAATCAGGATCAATAACCTCTGTCTCTCCAGCCTGATCCTTAGAGGGTCTGCCTGTCCTGGGACCTGGGCCACATTCCAAATTGAGTAATCCGGTGCATGCAGCCTGTCTGAAATTCCCCTTGTGGTTTTGCTCACATCTGGTGTTTTTCACTTCTCTTTCTAAACACGTGCTTTGATCCTGTTGCTGCTGCAGCAGAAAGATGTCCATGGTTCCAAGGAGCATAGTTAATCTAGTGAGAGGTGAAAGATACTCCTCTCAACAGGACTTCTAAAAATAAACAGTATCAGAGCCTCACTATGTCATGCTTGAAGCACTTCCCGGAAACCCCCACGTTTTGTAAAGTCTACAGTCTCCCTACAGCTCCCAAACCTCTAATGTGCCTGAACTCCTAGCCCCTCCCCCAGGTCTCCTCAAAGGCCCAACAGGTTTGAAATCTCATGCTGTTCTTCCTTTCGGTCATTCTCGGAGTAGACAAGGGTGACGTGGCTAAATGTCTTCCATGAGCGTTCTGTGGTCATATTTCTCCATCAGTTAACAACACATGTTGGGCTAAGAGCTATGTATATTTACTTCCAGGAAATCTTATCTACAACTAGATTACTTGTTTTATTTATTTTATCAAACTTTGTTACTCATTCTGCCTCTTACCTTATTTTAGTAAGTCTCTTTCTTAATTATAAAAGTATTTTTCCATTTCATGAAAATGTTTAGGGAAATAAAGAATATGAAAAAAATCCCAAATCCTGGTACTTGTAATATAACCATTATTAATTTATTAATTTTTTGGGGTTTTTTTCTTCCATGCTATTTTTTTTGTGTTTTGTGTATTTTCTGTTTATTTGTTTTTACATAGCCAGAATCATAATTTACATGCAATTCTTGTGTTCTCTTCTTTTCACTATCTAATATTATATTAAATGTTGCTACATAACTAGCAGGTATAAAATGAAAGGAAACGTAGATTTTGGCAAGGGGAGAGAGCCAAAAGCCATCCGTGACCTCCCATAAAGGAATGGATTGTGAATATTGTTTGTGGGGACAGAATTCTTCCCCAAGTTGCTGAGGTTTAAAGTGGGAATAGAGAATGCATAGCCAACCACAAAGAAGCAAAACAGCCCAGAATTTTTGGAGATGAAGGATTAATTTGAAGTCACAATGGCCAGATTCAAGATTCAAGACAACCCTTCTGCTGAGATAAGTCAGAGGCAAGGCTAAATGTTTTGGGAACACCTGCCTAGACAGTCTCCAGAAAAGAACACCTCATCACAGATATGGCCAGAAAGAGGGATGTTTGGGGAACACCGCTCCTTGGGGAAGAACATTTTCCCATGGGCTGTGGAAGGTTATAGTAAGTTACATTACCCTCTCCATTCCTGGAGGGTTTTCAGAGGAGAAATGAGGAGGCAGGGCATTCTTTATTCCTACTGGAGGGAATTCTTTGGCTTCCTGGCTGTGTTTTCTACTTTCTCATGGTTCCTCTTTCCTTTTCAGTTGCCCCATCAGACCCTCCCCACCCCAAACTAAGAAATGTTACCCCAAACAGATTAAGCTGTCCTCATTTAACCAATCTTTCCCCAATCAACCTTCCAACCTCTCTTGCTTTCCTTCGCTGACCCTCCCAAACCCAAGGTGTCCAGCCAGCTCTCCTGTGCCAATTCACTCTCCACATCCACCCCTGCCACATACAGAGACCGGTGCCAAGCCACGTCCACGTGCCCTGCTTAGCAGCCATGGTGAAGCCTTCTCATAAGAACGGAGCCCTCCCCTAATGAGAGGTAGGAGAACACAGCTATTATGCCCCGCTTTACTTCTTTGGAGCTGCTCTCCCTCCTCTAGGGACACCAACTGACCAGCAGCCACGCACGTCGGGCACCTTATGCCTCACGACAATGCTGGGTGACTGGTATGGCTATTCTCTCTCTCTCTTTTTAAGAATTTATTTATTTATTTGACAGAGAGAGAGA